CTAGCTAATCAATATAATTTCATGGTATTCTGTAGATATCCCAAAGTGTTAATTATAACAGGAGCAGTTAAATTCTTTGGAGCAATTAAATTCTTTGGCTATGAAAGCATAGCAGTTTTTAATAGACGTATCACCTGGTAACCTTGGGCATTATTAAATATATGGAGACTGAAAGACATGGTAGAAGCAATGGAAAAGTCTGGCCAGACTGGGTAATTTGTTTTAGACCGATGGAGAAATCTATTAACCATTTCTTCTGTAGACCCATTTGATTAGGAAGTAGGACAAGCTGTTCTTTCATTACGTACCAAAACCATACTGCACTCTGTATCAATTATTTGGCTGTCTGCAGCACATAGATTAGAATAAAGGGCTTGCTTAGTGTTTGTGAATGTCGCGGATTGCTGATTAGTAATTAATGTGCTGAATGAAGAAAATTAGGCCAAAATCGAGGGGAATGAAAACGTCTTAATTCTGTGATACAGATGTTAGAAACAGATTGTCTTCAGCAGCCCATTCAATGTGGTGACATTCTACATAGCCATCGAGTGTTTGCATCCCATGTAAAACTCAAGTCGAATGCCTTTGAGATGGTTTCCTCTCCTATGCCTTGTGATGTAGCTGTATGGGTATTAATTTAGTGAAATATCCTGTCTGCCAGGTGTGGGAACTAGCTGATTTTATTGTAATACCAGATCATTACTTAATTCATATGCAACAGAGTACAGCACATGGAAAGCATTATAAATCTATTTACAATGTGGCTGGTCTGATGATAACATTGTATTAAATTCCCAGGTGAGGCAATTTAAGCAATCGCTTTGCCATGTGCACACCATGGAAATTAAATTCTCATATACACTTTAGTAATAAACCAACTTCATTGTTATGCTTTTGCTAGTTCTGGGCTGTAGAATCCTCATTCTGGTTACATATAGTCTATTTCACATGTAGAATCATAGAGGAGGCGGTACCACTGATCACAGTTTTTAATTAGTTTAAGCTAAGTTAATTTGTTTTGTTTCTAATTTAGCGGTGCCTGTCCAGGAACACATTCAGTTCAGTTGGGAAATGTCAAGGCTTGGGTCAAGTAGAAAGATCGTTTCAAGCCAAATTTCCAGACAGAACTGAGCAAGTGTATCTGTTTGAACTTGGCTTTAAGAAAATCAGCCAATCAGTATGCAAAAGACCTGTTCATGTACCAAGTGAAAGTCGAAAATTGCTTTGAATCTGAAATTGTCGCATTCATAACTCACTTGTGTCATCAGTTTCAAATAGCCACTGAAACTTGCGCATCTAACTTCTTAGAGGTAACAATCAGCTGTTGATTTGTCATATTTTTTCTATAGTTCGAATATGGTCCATAGATTTTCTTTCTAACCATCTAGTCCACCAAAGGGTATAAGTTAGGAGTAAGCTTTACAGAAGCACAATTAAAAACGTGGAGTTCTCTTGTATTTAACTCTGCGTACGTGTGTGTGTGTGTGTGTGTGTGTGTGTGGCAAATATTGTCAGCTGAAGCTTTTCCACTCTTATGGTACGGACCAGAAATTGCAGTAGATTACAAACTGCATAGAGCTTCTGTCTTCTCCAGAAGCCACATATAAAGTGCCAGTAGACAGTGGTAACTGACAACTAAGACTAAAAATGTTGACAATTTCTTGATTTGCCTGGTTAGCTTATGTATAGAAGTCATTAACTATTTATAAAATGCATTATGAATTGGGTTCCTTCAAACTGTAGCTGAATGTGTGACATTTCCAGCTCAAATTCTTATGTTTGCATTTGGCTAAAGTACAAATTTTATACTGCTGATAATAAAGTAAAAATATTTTAGTGAAGTTTATCGAGATACTGTAAATGCTTCAGTTTCATTAACTTTGAATCTTCCATATTAAATTATTGCATAGGTACTTAGTAATGTAGCATGAGATTTTTAAAATAATTCCCTAAAAGATAACATAATTTATTGATGTTTTAGAGGAAAATGCTCCATAAAATAAGCAGTTTGTTATTCAAAGGACTTTGCCCCTTTTTTGGTATTCAGTTAGTATAGTGATGACCTTGCGGTGTACATTTTGGTTGGTCACTTAAAATTTCAACTTGTGAAAAATTATAAGAAAATACCCACGTTGGACATCTAAATATAATTCTTAGTTTTTTTTAAGTCTTGATTTGTTTTATTTTTGGAAAATGAAACACATGTAAAGAGTTCAGTTTTCAGTATTGTGTCATGTTCATGAGGAACTATTTCTGATATTTGAAATGAGTTGTCTTTTCATTCCTTAAGAAAAGTCAGTCCTGTCAGAGAACACTTTGTTAAACTCAGCATATCATTTGCTTAATTATATCCAGAAAGCCATCCAAACAACCGGTTTTTACCATCCCAGTGGTAAAGAATGACATTTATAGGGACCACCCTTCAACTGTGGATAAAGCCTTGGTTCTCTTCTGTTGCTGAGCATGTACACTCTTAATTGCTGGTTTTTAAAAGCAGTGGATTCTAACCAAAACAAGATTAAATATTTAGGGATACACATTTATAATTTTCTCCTTTTGAAGTATAGTAAAACAAAATAAGAATATAATGTAATTGAACAATCTATGCCAATTTGTTGGTATTTTGGTGAAAAAAGGGAAAACAAAAACAATCTCCATATGATACTCTTGCATACTGTGGAATGTTTTAGTCCCCCATAGTGATGAAATGAATAATTAAAAAGGCAGCTCTGATACCACAGCCTGTTTAAAGGTTCTCATTTCCTTTAATGCTGTAAAATACTTTTGCTTAGCTAGTTTGAAACTACTGTAGTGGGACTTCCAAATGAGCAAAAGAAAGCTTTGGCTTGATCTAAATATTGTATTAAGGCCATGAAGTGGACTGCCCTAATAATTTAGCATTTTTAAATGCAATTCTGTATGAAGCCAATAGAAATAGCTAATTAATAATGGCTTCAGTAAATACAGTAAGAGAAGCAGGCTTAATATATGCTGTTTGTGATGGTAAAACGTCTGGCCTGTTCACAAATGACTGAGTTGGGTCGCTACTGAATTGGCAAGAATCTGTTATCGGCATCTTTACCGAATTCATGCTAAGGACTTGACTTCTTTACTCTGTCCTCTTCCCTGCAATGTTGTTGGTTTTATTTATCTACTTATAGAGTTATTGCATTAGCCAAGGTATAAGACATGCATCTGTGGCAGGGAAATGGGGTTTGGGGTGGAGACTCAGTACAGGGAGTGGATGCCACTGTCTCCTTAATATCAAAACATTTTGCAATTCTTGTGCTTTTATCCTGGGTCACTCTAAAGGTAATAGAATGAAGAGAAAATTTTGTACAGTAGAATGAACATTTAGCTGTGAGTCAGTGTTCCAGTGTCAGTTTAACCAGTGTTACCTTTAGGGTTTCATGAAACTGATTTTTTTTTTTTTTTTTTTTTTTTTTTTTCACTAAAAAGCCAAGGAGTCTCCAGATTTCTACTCCATTCAGGCTTTTTCAACTGGGTTCTGCCAGGGACTTAAACCTTGCCTTCAACTATATGTAATGAACTAAATTTTTTCTTATGTACCATCCTTGGGAGAATTGATAAAATGGTCACTGAAATAATTTCTGTGTTTTGTGGTTAAGATAAGGAGCCCCAACTGGGAAAAGTTATAACTTCAAAATGATTTAAAGTCTATTGGTTGTTCTTGTCTAAGGTTCTTTATATTTGAATATAATATATTTGATGTTTAAGGTATTATGATCTCTATTTGGTCAAGCAGTGTTGCTAATTCACTAGTTTAAAATCTAATTTAAAAATCATATTGTTGACATTTATTCCTGAATTATGGATAGTTCTTTTAAACTACAATACTTTTTCAGATTACAGTTGAATAGGTAAGAAAGTGTAAGTCCCAAATTGTAGACCCCAAGTGAGGACGAGATTACCATTTTCCAGCTGCCATTTTTTAATGGAGTTGTTTTCTTAGTGAAGTCTGAAGCAGAAAAGACAACAAAGTAACTTGCAAATCTGAATTTAGATCTGAAATAGTGATACTGAAGTGGGATCCGAGGACCACACTTTAGCTTCACAAGCAATTTTCAATCTTTTAGCTTTTCCAAGTGTGTATACATTTAGATAATTTATGAATTGCTTACAGACATGTCCCCCTGACTTTATGGAGAAGGGAACATTTCTTGTAAAACACATTTTTTTCAGTGTGTGAAACACTGACTCATAGCCCACTCGTCTTTATTTACTGGGACTGTGAAAAGTTGACTCATAACCTACTTGACTTTATTTACTGTGACTGGGAAATTTAGTTTCTTTTACCAGACACACACAGGCACGCATGCATGCACACATGCACACACACTTTCATTACTTTTCCTTAGGCCATTATTTATAGAAAACTAGGAGACATTTAAATTACTCTTTGTACAGGGGATGGGCTTTTAGATTCCCTTTCTTTCTGGTTTAGTAACATTACAATAATAAAAGAAATATAGATGTGCTATTCCAGGCATTGCAGAGTATAGTTGGAGATATAATTATTATCCTAGTATTAGAGACTTTTAAAGACCTAAATTGAAAGCTTTGTAATGTCCATTTCCTGCCACAATATTAAAAAAGATATATATATATTCCTGTCTTAAGTACAATACAGTCTAGTGAGTTTTACAGACATACAGTTATGTAGCTGTATTTCTTTCAGCTTAGTGGTCTAATTTGAATGGTGAAGTATGAAAACTACTTACAAGTTTGGATCCAATTATGAATATTAATGAAATACTTACACAATGCAGTTTTCTTTCATTATTGGCATTTTTAAAAGTAATTTACATGAAACTTCTCAAGTTCAGGAACTTTACCCAACTTTGGTGTGCAGATTGTAGCCAATAGGTTTCCATTAGGGGGCTCTCGAGGTTTGAGATGGGCCTTGATACCAATAAAGCTTCGAAGCCTTTACTTTCTAACGTTCCTCTCACTCTCTCCCTTTTTGTTTTGTTTTATAGAAAAGGTCACGGATCGCCTACAGTGACGAAGTACGGAATGAGCTCCTGGGGGATGATGGGAATTCCTCAGAGAACCAGGTAGAATGCTAATCAGGAAGGCCCGGTGGGTGGCTGGAGGGTGAAGGAGGTCACTGGCGCACTGGGCTCTCAAGCTGCTCCTTAGCCGTATTAGCAGCAACTCATGTGGAAGCGATACTGTTTAATGCAAAGCTGGAGTCTTAATCAACTTCAAAATGTTTCTTAGAGATCTTACATTTAACCCTTTACCTTGTGATCACTGTCTGCTATCTTTTAAAAAAATCTTTCATTCTCTTTTCTTTATTATTTAGTACTTAAGGAATAACTTGAAACACACCATTTGCAGACAAAGCCAAGGTCTTCACCTCAAACACATGTAAAAGGAATAAAAAAAGTACATAATACAGCTTTGATAATAATGCAGTATAATTAAATCAACACTTGCAGCAAAACAAATGAAAGTGAGCTTTCAAAATTCAGCAGGGCAACCCAATCTCCTATTGTGTGGCTTCTTAAAAATACATTCACCAAAATGCAAATTGTAAGCACCAGTGTGGAACTTGGATACCCATATAGAGGACCTGCGTCTGTCCAATGATAGTCATAATAATAATAATATTATAATAATTGGGTAAGTCTTTTGGCAGTTTAAGATCTGCATAGGCCAAAACTAAGATACAATTTCTTCTTAAAAGGGCTTTACAACTTGGCTGTCAGTTCTCATTGGATCATACATTAGTGTCATGAGTCTAATTAATGTCCTGCCTCTTTCTTTGAATTAATACTGCAGACTTCATTAATATATGTAGATACTATATACAACTCTAAAAAAAAGTTTTAAGAACCGCGGTGTAGAGATGACTTTTAAAATGTCTCAAAAAACTCTAATGACAGATTTTCTTTTAAAGAAAATGCGTGATAGGGACCTTCAGAAGCAAGAACTGAACATGGTTACCAATGCCACTTTGGCCAGAATTATAAAAGTCTACTCTGCCTAAATGAAAATGAACAGAAATCAGTCACTAAGTAAACTAAAATTGTGATAGGATAGTGAAACATAATATATTGATATATATTATGAAAATTGCATAATTGTATTTACCATCTCAAATAGATGATATTGTAGGTCTATATATGCTAATAATATTGCTATCTATTATACTATAGACTATAACCGGGACGTGGTCTGTTCGATTAAGGGTGCTACCCACCCCCAAAAAAGAGAGAAGGATGACTAAGCTGATTATGTTTGTTTTTGGAAAGATCTCACCTCCTCCACTATGTGGATGTTATCAGCTTGAGTTCAGACATGTGAACACGTTCAGATTTGACTTGGGATTTCAGCTTCCCTGATTGAAATGTGAGAATAGCTAAAGGAAAAAAAAATAGCACATCAAACATAAAAGGGTGATGTGATAAAGGGGTTTTACTAATAATAGATTAAATAATGTGAGGATGAGAGAAAAAATATTTTCTTCCTTTTTTAAAGTGAGATTTAGATTTCTCATACCTCTTGAATGAATGAATCATAATTTTATTTCCTATCTACTGTGAAAAAAAAGCATTATCTTTTTTGCAAAAAAGTGAATGCGTAGTTCCCATGTCAGTTCTTTAAAAAGCTATAGATCTTTCCTTCATTTGAAACTACTGCCTAATGTAGAGGAAAGAGAAAGGAAGGGGGTGTGCCTGTCTAACTCAGACTCCTTTATTGTAATGGATGTTGTAGTTCTATGACAGGGATCCCATTTTTTTTCAAACATGTTCACTTCTCTTAATGGACATTTTATATGCCTAAAACATCTGCCTTGCGTACATATAAGTATGATTTTTTATGCCTAAAGAAACTGTTCCACAAAAATAGATTGAGTTCATATTTTCTGAATTTTTCAAATTTTATTCCTGTCACTTTCAAGTGATTATGCAGAGATCTCCCCTGGACTTGTATAAATCAAACTTACAAATTCTGAAAGTGCTTGGAGAACCTGAAGTTTAGTTTTAAGGAACTGTCACTTCAATAAATAGAGTATGATAAATTATAGGCATGAGAATATGTACTGTTAGATTACTTGTGTGAACTTTTCTATCTAAAATTTGAACGAGGTATAAAAGTTCAAAGAGACCACACTTAACTTTTTGGATATTTGGTTACCAAATGTAGCAGAGTTTTTGTATCATATGAAATCATTGCATTTTGTTTTAAGGCTCTTTGTCATAATATAGGAATTAAAATCCCTCAAACTAAAACACATCCTTAATTAGGTATGGTCACTTGAGGATAACTTTTTTATTCCGCATCAGCATTCATTCAGAATATAGAATCAAAACAGAATCTCTTTCTGTAAAGAAAGAAAAGATTTTGACTCTTTATATTAATTTTTGTAGCTCAGTGGTTAGGAAGAGTTTTTTTCTACAAATAAGTATACTTTTAAGTTATTTGCTAATAAACTAATTTTCAGAACTTTTTGTTCATGGAATACTTGTGATAAACTTTTAATATATGGATAAAACTTGGAGATAAAATGAGATTAAAAATAGCAATATTCATTTCATTGCCATTGGGATATATCTGTCAGTTTAAAAATATATATCAAAATAGGAAAATAAGGAATTAAGAGCAATGATAATATAGATAAAATAAAATACTGGCCAGGAATTTTTAATGTAACATATACATCCTCCTAATAGTTGTTTCTTTGTGAAGATTCAACAATATGAATACAATAGCTATTATTTCTCATTCTGGTAATTTATAATGCGGTTTTTTTAGGCATCTGAAACCTGACTGTTAATACATATAATTATAGTCTGCCAATTAACTATAAAGTATGTTAATTTACTCTTAGGTACATAAACATTTCTGCCATGATCAGAAATGTTAAAAATTCAGAAACGAAAATTTTTTCAAAAGCATTTTTAATGTCCCTCATACAATACGCTGCATTTAATTCCAAATTAAATGCTTTGTATAAATTCATTTCTGATTCATATTCATTTCATTCAATCAAATATAGCTTATGCTTGATTTACAAAGAAGGGACAAGAAAATTACCTACTTTGCACATTCGAGTACTGTTGGGCTATCATCTTTCCAAGGACTATTGTCTTAAGCATTATCATTCTGTTCTTTGAAAATACCTTATTTACCATTCCATGTGGCAACATTTTATTTCTTTGAAAGAGTTGAGTCCTTGAATGTAGTAATGTTGTATTTTGAGTGGAAACATTAGTAGTTCCTAACTTGATTGCATTTCATAAGAACCGTTCTCATAAAAGGGAAAACACAACTTATAGAATAAAATCATAAAGCCTTTCATAGTGAAGTGTGATAATGGGCCAAGTAAACTGTTCCAAGCTCTGGTTTTGAACCCTAATACTCTCAGTTTCTATATGCAGAATTATATTGATCAGCGACTTTGAATAAATCCTAAATAGAGAGTTCAAAATATAAAGAGTAGACTATTTCCAAATGTGTGGAAAGTTTTGTGGCAAAGCAATATTCAGCAGATAATGATTGCTTAATTTTTTAATACGAGGTTCTCTTAAGTTGTGATTTGGGCTTGCTGTGCATAAAGTGTGTCAAACTTCAGCTACAGACCAGGGGGTGAAGTCGGTCAATTTAATTCCCCAAGATCTAAAGAAGGTCGGTATCATTTCATATAGCCCTGGCAGAGCAGATCATTACCAGGCACAAATCTGTTCGTTACGTGCTGAGGGTTTATAGCAAAATAAATAGACTGTCATCATAAGTTCAGAAAATTGTGTGTTCGACCCACGATAATGTGTAAAGGGCGTTTAATAGAGTTCAGCATTTATTCGTTATCTGTATGCGGACAGAGACGGCAGTCGCGTTATCAGCTTTAAAAAAAAATTCGGTAGTTCTGGGGGTCACGTGACGCACCTCACACACACAGGCGCGCGCGCATGAACCCTCACATGCTCTGCAGTGCAGTTTTGATTTTAGTCACAGCAGAAGGCTTAACCACAAGAGATTCCACTGGTTCAAACCAGCGTAAACCAGATTTTTTCAGCCCACAAAGGAACAGATTACCTCTTGTATCAAATTCTGCATTGGGGGGGGAAAAATCTTTGTTTCAAAAAAGATGTTGATTATCATAACTCAACATGGTGGTATTGCACACTCTCACGTTGCCTATGATGGAGCTGGTAACTCGGGAAAAAACGAAATCACAATTTACAGTCTAGTCTAAGCATTGTTAATTTTCAAAAATAGGCCATCTTTTGTTTACTTGAATGAATAACTCTCAGCCTAACCCCCCCCCCAAAAAAAAAAAGATAAAGATGAAAACCCTCCCATTACCTAGCTTAGCTACAAATCCGGTGTGGAGCTTGAATGCAGCCATGCAGCACAAACAAGATAGAACGTTTTTTGTTTGGAACCTATTGAAAAAACAAATGGGTAGCATTTTTAAACACTCATTGATTATGGCAGGGTGGCATGCCCCAAATGGTCTCTATTGCTGAAGAGTAGTTTTAAACCTTGGCCCTTTAAGTATCATAGTCAACCGAAGGATAGTGTCCCCAGAAAGAAAAGATAGCTGGCCGATCAATTCCCAGATCGTCTCTTTCTGAGAATTAATGTTTGCCTTTTTCTCCCATGATGTTGGGATAGCAAAGAGAAAGATTCTGATATATGATAGGCCAGGTATTTTAGTTTAAAATTTTGCTTTTCCTGGGGAAGAATGATAACTTTTAACATGAAATGCAAGATGATGTACTTATATGTAACTGGATGGTTGCTGAGAGAATGAGTGTGTTAATTAAAAATAAAAGACAACTTGTCTATTTTGAAACGATGATAATAAAAGATTCATTTTCACTGAATGTACTGTGAGACATTACAGGATAACTTCTGTATCCTTTTTATAAAGGATTCTTAACAGTTTTTTAAAATCTTATTCTTTGGTACTCAAAATATTTTTTTTATAACAAATGAAATAACAGAATAAGCTGGAATGCATGCTGCCTTCCTGAATTCAGGATAAAAACAGCATTAAGCATTGAGATATCCGGGCTATAGTAAACATGATACTTTTAGAGAGACTTATGGTGAGCAATTCATGGCACATTTCTCCCAAAGCAATCGTTTAATTTATCGGCCTGCATATGTCAAGTGTTATAACAGATGTTATAGATATTTGGCTGTTTAAAAATTATCAGTTGTAGACCTGAATTGCTGAGGATGCAAATTTCAAACCTAGAATGTGGTTTAGTCTGTTACAACATAGGTTTCCATTTTTAGTCATTGCAAAAACTGTGGTCGTCATCTCACTTACACAATATTTGTTGTTTAGAATAGTGTCAAATACACACACACATACACAATGAGTTTATATAATTATTTTAGTTCCTGAAGAGTTAAGCAGCTTGTTTTGTCTGTTATATTTAAGGCAAATAGAAAAATGTTCTAAATAAAAGAATTCAAATGTTATCATAGAAGAATTTACTAACAAGTAAGGAGTGATTTTTATTTGAGTTTAGTGAAAACAGACTGTAGTATAAATGAAGTAAGAGCTCATTGCCATTTTACAATATGAAGAAAATTGAAAAATGAAGAAACCATTCAAAAATTAAAATGAAGACATGCCACATGATTGCAGTAGCCTCTTAAGCAAAACAAATACCTAGGAATTGACTCATATACACAAAAGTTCATAGGATAGTGAATTTGTGATACTGTGTTCTAAATAAGTGTTATCTATCCTGGCATACTTTATTTTCGATTAAAATAACATTGCCTCCAAATGCAGTCTTATTTCTAGAGTGGGTACAAGTATCACATTAACTAACATAATAGTTTGTTGTTTAAAATACTTATTGGAACCAAAGCATGAGCTATTAATCATTTTCATTTGTAGGTAAAATCTGAAATCAGTTGTCAAGATTCCAAATAGAGAAACATCCTGAAAACTTGTATATACAAAACCTCTTCAATGGTACATTCTTAGAAGAGAGGAACAGTAAACTTGTTTTCTTTCTTTATAATATAGACTTCTATGAAGTCGTTCCCCTTTATTTCATGATGGTGTCTTAGATGTACTTTAAAAGAGAATTTCACACTATTCTCTTTGTTTAATGTGACAGTGTGAGAAAGTGATCTTTATTCGTTCAAAAAACTCTGCATGTAGTCTATGTTTAGGTTCTTTTAATGTGTTTGTCTGTGATTTTTAAATGCTAAACATGTAAACAGATAAATTGTCAATGTTAATTCTGTATCCTGTCACACCACTGATCTTTCTTTCCTGCCATTTCTTTCCTTTTTATCTTTTTTTTGTGCATTCATGTTGCAGTTGATAAAATTACGTGAAGAGGTGAGTACTTCCTAGCTTCTTTTTTTTTTTTAATTCTGCTTTTCCTTATAAAATTGAATTTTTAAGTCTGAAGTGGACCTTTGGATTTGTTTTTCCAGGTAAATCTGTACATAGCAAAAAGTATTATTTATATTGTTCAGGAATTTTTTCTGCTGATCACCTTTTAAAACACAACTATATCCTAATCATGCTTATCTCAGGGATCTTTGTTCTTTGTTCGAACTGGGGCCAAGTTAATATTTTTAAGGCCAAAAAAAAAAAAAAGGAATAATAAAGGAATATCTTAAAATGATACCTGAGTATAGTTTCATTGTAGGCTCTAACTTCAAGTTTATTTATGTAGTTTCTCAATCTAGTATGATTTTTTTTTTCCTGACATTCTGGTTTACTTTACTGTAAACTGTTCTTAAATAAACTCCTTTCCCCCACCCAAAATTATTAGGTTTAACATAAGACACCATGGATCTATTATCCTTCTGGGGAAACACACATGTGTTATAAATGCCCTGCTACTCTGTGTGCATAGATACCTAAGAATAGCCAAGCTTTCGTCATTGTTAAACACTTTTCTTTTTGTAGGATACAGCACCCAAGTGAGTTCTCATTTTTCTGAGTTTGCTAGAGTATTTCATAATGCAACCTCAGACTTTTTTTGTGGCTTTAAATGCCTTATTTTTGTGGCTCAGCAAATATTTACTGCAATGTATATAATTGTATCCCTGTATTAATGAGGGATGCTGAATAATTCTATTTTTAAAAAATTAGGTCAAACATATCAAATATGCTTTGGTACTCTTTTTTTAGAGAGTCATATTTTTTATTTAGTAAGGTAGGGTTTTATTTTTCTATTAAGACATAGTGGCCTATATTGCAATTTAAAAATTGTCTAATTGCTTATAGTTTAGAGTAGTATGAATTACTTTTGAGTTTAGTTTAACTGCATTGATAGAGAATTTTCTAAAAGTTTTTTTGTTGGTATGTCATCATTCTCTAGGTGGTGTGGATGTTAACTTAGAAGCTTCTAGATAGTGGTTTTCAACAACTCTTTGCATATACTGATGTACTATCTCAAAGAAAGTAATAATGACATATAAAATAAAGGGGGGAAATATACAAAAACCCTTACCCTCCCATCTTTTTGTGTTTTTTATCT